CCCTCCAGCCTGCTCAGGAAGGTTTCAGCTGGATGTAAGCAGAATCTCCTGCTGGTTTAAAACCTATTTAAAGCTTGCGGTAGCCATAGCAGGACCCTGGGAAGGTGCACACTACCTCTTCTCAGGAAGGCACTGAAACATGCAGGTTTTGCCCAAGATGAGGATGGCAGTCACCCCCGTGGCTGGCAGCACATGAGGACTGGTGATGGGAAGGAGGGAAAAGCCTTTGGGCCTTGCAGACGCTCTCCACACAGCATGGCTTGAGGTGGCAATCATGGAGGAGAGGCATCAGCTTGGCCCATAGCCACCAGCTGCTGGCACCTTGATGCCTGGGGGGCTCAGCCAGGGAGGTTTGGAGGTCTGGTCCTCCAGCACTGCTGCAACCTTGCCCAAAGTGCAGAGCTGCAGAGGTGTGTGGCCCAAGAGCCTGGAGGAGGGGGAAGCATGTTGGACAGCAGCATTCCCTGGGGGGGAATGCACTCCTTCCTGAGACCTTCCGCCAAGCCTGCAGGCAGCAGGGAGATGGCTCTTCAGTGCAGAGCAGGAAGCAGCCTTTCCGCTACTTTGCTGCAGATATTAAGAGGGGAAGTGATGAGCAAACTTACAGGCTCCAGTTGCTCCTTCCCTACGCCCCCTGCTCCACCTTACAGCACCCCTATTCAAGTTGTCAAGGGATCACCAGCCCCAAGCAGACCCAGATTTACCTGAAGGCTCTGATGTATCCCTCCCACCTCCCAGCCCAGCAGTGCCAGCAAACTCCCCCCCCCAGCACAGGGCACAGCGCCAGCCTGCAGCCCCCTTCTCGGTGCTGCTTGTTTGCTCTGTCTCGTTTGAAAGCCACAAGACCGATTTCTCACCACCACACAGGACATGCCCTGGGTGAGATGGGGATGGCGAGAGCTCAGGCTGCTGGGGTAGGAGCCAGCCCCAGCCTCTTGTTTCTAGAGAAGACCCAAGGAGGAAGAAATGTCTGTCCCCCTTTTCTAGCAATCCAGCTTTCACAGGGTGAAGGGGAAAAGCACTGGCTGCCCTGAGGGCTGTGCCCCTCCAGGCATCCCTCTCTGCTCCCAGTTGAATGCCAGGTGTCCTGGCACAACCTGCCATGGATGATGGCTCCTTGCATGCTCCGGGACCCAGCAGCCTGCCCACACCCCTTTGGACTCTGGGTACAGGTTTGAGGGGGAGGAGAATGGTGCCAGGGAGATGTGGAGATAGGCAGTGGTGCTGCGGGAATGGCCCTGCCAAGCAATGCATTGGAAGGCAGCGCCGGTGACCCAAGGGGGGTCATTTGTGAAGGGAATGACTTTGGTGCTGGCCAGGCTGGGTACAGGGCACAGTACATTTACTATGGGCAGCAGGGAGTGATTCATTTGGAAAGCTTCTATGCTGCAGCTCCACAAGGTTCATATGCCCCCGTGAGATGGCAGAGGGCACAATGCAGCCTTCATCTGCAAATCTATATGCCACCCACTTGTCGTCATTAAAGTTCACTGGATGTGCTAGGTAAAGGCTATGGTGTTTCGCCAGGACTGATGCTCTCTCTTTTTCTTCAGCTGGGTATGAAAAAGCATGTTTACTTCACACCCGAAATTCTTGAAGTTTTGCATGGCAACATCATTTACCTCAACTGCCGCATTTTCCACCTCCAGTGAACCTAATGACAGTACATTTAAATGCTAGATGAAATGACTGCTGGCTCCCCCAAAACTTCTGAGAGCACTGAGAGCCTCCAGGATGGGAGATGCTATGAGGCTACAATGTAGTATTTCGTATTAGAGGAGCTGAAAGTTGCCCACGAGTTTTGCACCTCTGACCCCAGCTCTTAATCCCCCACTTGTCGGTCATGAGAAAGAGTCAATGTGCACAGGAGCCTGCTGTGAGGCCAAGGGTTAGTGCCCACACCAAACCTCCATTCCCTCATCACAGCTGAAGCTGGGCAGACAGTAGCCCATGTGCCACCTGCAAGCACAGCACCAGAGACTGGTTGCTGGTGGTGAAAACATGGATAAATGTAGGCTGGAAGGAGAGGCCAAGTGCACAGAGCTGATCCAGGTTACTCATGTTTGACAACCACAAATCGGGATGAGAAACTGTCTTTTCAAAACCCTTTTAACACATTCACCTTTGCAAGCTTTCAGCAGAAAGACAAGGCAGGAATGTTAAAGGGTCAAATTCCGGGTGTTTGCTTGTTCTTTCCTCAGGCAAACCCTCACTGATTGACTGTGGGAAGGGTGAGAGCAGAGCGCAACTGACGGAGGAGTCCCACTGCTAACACCGAAGCATGCAGCCTCCTGGCAGAGACTAATGACAATAGACAAAGCTCTTCCAAACACACCCCACTCTGCCTGCTGCATGCCACCAAAATGAGTCTAAGGGGCTGCTGGTTCCCTACCACTTTCGGAGCCAGAACCTTCCTCAGGCAGCAGGACTAGCAGTTGCATGGTGGGATTCTGGAGGGGTGAAAGAACAGGCGTGGCCAAGAGTGGGTTGGGGGCTCAGCAGTCAAGGCAAATGCCAGCTGCAGGGAGACCCTCCACAATGTGGGATTGTCTGCAAATGAGGGACACAATCAGGGTCTCGCTGCAGGATGAGCTTTCACACACAGATGTTAGCGAGACCCACACAGTGCTGCGGTCAGTATATCCACACATGGATAGGCAAAGGCATTTGCCGGAGCAGCTATACTATGAGAATGTGCAGCCGGCAACAACTGCTAACGCGTCTCCTGGACTTCACTGGGTGCACCAAGCCAATTTTCCGAGCAGAGCTCTACTTGCGGGAAGAACAAGGCAGGCCCACCCACACTGGCCAGCCTACAAGCCATTTAAGTGCCTGAGCAAGGCACTGATTCAGCCAAACTGCTCATGTGGGCAAGATTACTCATGTACAGGCTGCAGGACCAATATTCCAGGGCCCTGTGACTCCTTGTCGACTCAGGAGTCTCGTCACTGCCATCACCACCACTCCATTCTCTGATGCCATCACACAACCCAGAAGTCAAAGGAATCTCTGACCTGTCATTCCACAGTCTGGGGACAAGCTTTGCAAGAACACTTCGTCTTACCAGGGTTTCTTTCTTTTGCTCTTAGCAAGGATGGGAGGTCACATCACTCTGCTGCTGTGCCATGGTAGGAAGAGCTCAGAGAGCTAATGCTAGGGTCAGGTGATTGGACTGCACAAAACCCCACGTTCAGTAATTCCCCATCCACAACTCTGCCAGTCACACATCACTTCTTGGCAGTCCTGAGGCAGCCAGCTGTGCCTACACCCTTGCACATGTAACCAGTCGCTGTCATAAGCCATATGTCTGCAGTCACTAACTCATGCCCAAGCACACCTGTAGTAAGGTACCTTTTCTGGATTACATCCCTTCCCTCTCCCACACAGCAAGCAACAGCATCAGTTTCTCAGAGCCTGACACACACACTCACCCACACTCTGCTCCCTGCTTTCCTTCCCATGCAAATGGACTCACTGCAAAGTGGGGTCTCACACCAGTGCAAGCTGGAAAACTACATGCAAACTGTGAGAGTGTATAGTCTTCTTGTGGCTTGCTCTCAGGCACAGCCTGGTGCCTGAGTAATGACCCTCATCTTAGCAAGACTGCTGGCAGCAGAGGGATGTTCCCATCTGTTCGTGTCTCCTTTCACCAAGACAGTTTATGAGCAAGCTGAAATGATCTGAGCAGTCACCTCCATCCACCCTTCCTGGCTACCGAAGTCCTCACAAGCATCAGGGATGTCTCCCAGGATCCCAAACATGTCTCACATAAAGAAGGCTTCTGGGTGAGACTTCCTGGTAACTGTCCCATAGTTGCAGAGTCAGAGCCATCAGATCTGTCACTTGCGAGCCAAGCAAGTGTCAGGTTTTTGTCTGAGGCAGGAACAGTGAAACGTCACAGGCAGTGACGAGGTGAAATACTCAGTGCATGGCACAGGGATGGTGACATCTCACAGACGTGCTGCAGCGTGCTCCCACAGGCAGGGAGGAGGTAGGCTCAGTGTGGATCTGGGTGGCAAGAAGTGGTGTGTCCTCCCAGCAGAATGACACCCTCTCCTCCATTCCATCCCAATACACATCTGATGCAGCTCTAGAAGGTCCAGATATGGAACAAACCTCTTGGGAAGAGGAAGGACAAAGAGGTCATTTTATTTGGCTTGCAAGGAGTTAGCAGCACTGCCAGGCATCATTCACTCAGTGGAGAAACAGGAACAGTACCGAAGTTAGAGGCCCAAATGTCAACCTGAGTGCACAGCCAGGCATCCCTCCTCCAAAGGTCTTTGATACATTTATTTTGCTATGTGGCAGTACATTACAGAACACATACATTACCAGCAGTTTCAGAGCCCTGAGTTGTCATTCCTCCTGAATTTTGGAAAAGAGGTAAGACCAGTGTCCCCTTCCCCCATTTCACCTGAAAGGAAACAGACCACAAAAAGTTCAAAGACACAGAGGCACTTGCTGACAGGACTGGAGATGAACCTCAGAAAGCTGGAGTCTCAGTCCACCACTCTCACCATTAGGGTCCCCTTTCCCTGGTGGTGAGATAGGAAGCTCTAGTGTCAGCTCTCCACAAGGTCTCACTCTTCTGAGAAACTCTCTGCACACCTGCACAGAAATCAGACTAAGGAGACTGCAAAAACTAACACTACTGTATTTTAAAGGGACTGACCACCTCTCTCTGAGGGGCTGAGAAATGTGGGGCTTCTAGGCAGGGTTGGGATTCTCTTAAATTCTGTAAGATTACTTAAGAAAGAGCCAAGGAGAGGCTTTTGCTTTCCACTGGAATCTAAATGGAATTTGCCCTGCTCAGATGGGGAAAGCAAGCACCCTGCCTTTCCTGACATACAGTATCCCGCACCTCCTTTTCCTAAACCATGAAACAGCAGAGCTCCAGTACCAATTTCACCTCCCAGTGCCACAGAGAAAGCTAATGCTGTAACAGGCAAAGACAGAAAGACAGTGCAGCGTGTAACATAGAACAAGACCCCAAAATAGCTCACAGAATAGCAGAAACAGTCAGAAAGGCAAATATGCTGTGGAGAGCAGAAGGGAGGGCAGGAGCACCTGGGCCTCTCCCACCAGTTCATGTCAGTACATAGAATGGTGCCTCCGCCTCAGGAGAGCAATGACCCAGTTCCCCAGCTGAGACCCCTTCAGCCAGAGGAAGAGTTCATACAAGCTGATCTGCCACAGGCTCAGTGCTTCCGTGAGTGAGATCTGGGCCTTCCTGTAAAGCGAGTGACTCTTGCTCCTCTGGTACCTAGAATGAGAGAAACAGCTGCATTAGATCCAGCAGGATGCAGCCCAACAGGAAGGAGGTCTGTCATGCATCCTCATCCCCTCCCCAGGGAAGGGGAACATTCTACATCAGGAGAATCACTAGCAGTGGGGACCCATGGGAGTAGGGATTTTTTCCAAGTAATGCTCCTGAGAAGCTGGGGACTGCTTTCCTAGCACAAATCTGGCAGAAGAGACAGCCTGCTCCCTTGTGAGCCCATTTCTCTGCCCCTGTGCATAGTGATTCTGAGCCATGGCATCCTCTGCTTCTATGCCCAGCTTCACTTCAGCTAACAGGAACAGGTGCACGCTCCTACAGTCAGTCTTTCCTGGTAAGATACTCATACGAGCCCAGCAATCCTGACACACCGATTCCAGGAAAAGTAATTCTCCACCTTTCCTTAGAAGCAGAGGCTAACTGGGATTTATCTGCACGTCTCTCATCAGTGAGAGAAATAACTGTTACTTCTCCTGCAAGGAGGAGGAATCTGAGGCAGAAGTGCATTGACCCATAAGACTCACAGATGGAAAGTGCTTGCATGACTCCTCCTGACTTTTAAGCATCAGCCCGATCTTCACAGTCAGCCCTAGCCCCTCAATCAGGCTGCAGAAACTGGCAGCAGTAAGCTTTCAGTGATCCTTCCTACCCACAAATACTTTCCAGTGGTGATGCCTGTAATGGACAGGAAACCCCTTCCCCTCCTCCGGAGGGGCCAAACCCTAAACCCTAAGGCCTCCAACTCCATCCCTATCCCCAGCCCCAGGGTGACAGACCTGTGTTCTGGAGAGGCTGATGGGTGTGAAAACAGCACAGACAGGCTAAGATGTGCAACTGAGCAGGGGTAGGACCACAGCAGATATGCTAATGAGTGAGAATGGTCCACAGCTAAAAGTAAGAGGGCAAGAGGTCAAGTTAGGCCTTGTCAGGGCCCTAAGCAGGGGGTTCTAATAAGCCTTTATGTCACTGACTAGCCTGGGACCTGCCCCAGCCTTCTGCTCATGGGTGCAGGAACTCCAGCTAATCTCAGACCTGCACCTTCAGTCCCTGCCTGAGCTACACTGGAGGAGTAATGGCCCCCAGCTCATGCTCTGTACTTGTACCTCAGCTCACATGTTGACCTTTTGCTTGACATCAGTCCTGCCTTATCACCATGGACCTGCCTGACAACCACCACACCTGATCTACATATTGACTTTCTGGTGTGACTTTGGACCTGCCCTGTCACCATGATGCTGCATTACAGTATGGACTTTTGATTAGACCCGACCACTGTCTCAGAGTCTGTCCTGTTTGCCTTGCTCAGCTACTGTGGGACTGGGCCCTGGCTGGCCTGCTGGCCCTGGGATCCTCCCAGGCTCCTTGCCCCCAGGGGAAGCCAGCCCCTGCTGCTCCATGACTGGCCTGTGGTGCCTGAAGAAAAGACTCACGTGGAAACGGCTCTGATGCAGCAGCGAGACATGTTGAGGAAGGAGCTGGCACTGGCCCGTGTGTTCAGAGCTAATTCAATCCCCCTTAACAAGTCATTGGTCTTCAGCAGCAGCAGCATCTGGCGGGGAACTTTGTTGAGGAGCTGGGTGATCTGGGGTAGGTAAGCAGCAGTGTTGGACCGGATCTCCATATCCTGCAGCCAGCCGCATCATGTCAGGGAGAAAGAAGAGAGGAGCTGAGAGTGCATGGCAAACCCAGGTCCAGATGCAGCTGAGATTTGGCAGGAGGAGATGGTGTCTTTCCAGACCATGACTCCAGGCCAGAAGCTAAAGAGCTATTTGTCCTGCTTTCCTGTAGACATCTGGCTGTCCCCAAACACTCACAGCACAGTGACAGATCACTCCTGCCATATCCTACGTGACCCTCAGAGTTAGATAAGGCCCTGTCCTCTCACTGGCAAAATTAATAGCACCTCAGGAGATCGGGGCACTTGCTGCTATCTCAGTTCTTGGTCCCAGGCAGCCTGCAGCAACCATGTCTCATTACTGCCCTTGCAGCCTTCTGACTGATTCTCACCTCACCAGCCCCAAAGCTGTCAGAGCTGAAGGTAGCACAGACTGCTGAGGAAGGTGGAGGCATGCTGAAAGGACAACCAGGCTCTCCTTGTCTTGCTGTCCCATGCAACTGATGGCTGTATGCTATACTGATGCAGCTGTTTCCAAAGCCTAGTTGAGTCCTCTGTCCTAAGCACAACTCAGCAGAGGTGAGAAAGCATTATGCAGTTAAGTCTCGCATTAACCCAAAGGATCAAAAACTGTCAGCTGTCCGATTGTCTATCTAGACCCATATCCTGTCTGGGAGCAGCCATTAGCAGATGCTTAAGTCAACAGAGTTATCTTTCGTGTTCCTTGGTTCCCCAGCTTCCAACAAACACACTGCCCACTGTAAGATCCCAGTGATAACTGATGGACTACAACCAGAGCCACTTAAGATGGGCTCCCCTCCAAACATGAGCCACCACAGCGTGCAAGACGGACAGCCCCCACTCCTCTGCCTCTTTTTAGATTTGAGTTCTCCCACCATCCCAGTAAATGTCATACAGTGTGGTGTGGAGCTGATCCCATACACATACCATGTCCCTACCTCTTCCTACAGAGGCCATGGCCTGAATCAGCAAATCCAAATAGAAGTCCCTGGAACATCTGAAATCTCCAGAATCCAGCAGGACACATGAAAAGGGCAGTAAAAAACTTCTTACAGGAAGGAGGCTCCTTTGTGGGAAAGGACAGCTCTAAAACCTCTCTTCTGGAATGAGGGTCAGCAGGTCTCTATTTCATGATACGGGATCTCACACTCACTCTTTGTGAACTTCAGATTTTTTATAAAGGAACAGACCTGCACAAATCGAGTGTGCAGGTCGTGATGGTCAGAGATGTATACAGCTCACATACCACCATGGTTGCTTTGCTGCTGACAAATCTTTGCATCCTCCTGCTTCTGTCACTGACCAAATACACAAAGCTTCAGCAAGAAGAAGCTTAGCTCTCCTAAATGTTTCATGTTTCACTCCGTTATTTGCTGGCAGAAAATTCCTCCCTCATTATCTCTTATCCTTTATCCTAGCCAGCATCACTGCAGAGCCTACTTTATTTTACACATACAAGTTTTCTATTTTCTTTTCATTTTAGCTCCAGCTGCTTGTCCGCATCACAAAGCAGCCACATAATCTGTCATCAGAACTGTCATTTTCTGTCAAATGCAAAGCCTGCACGCTCAGGAAGAAATGGGCTATGCCACAGGACCTGAGAAAAGCTCCTTGGCTGCAGTTGCTGAGGCTGCACAATCATAAAATCAGATGAGATGAGGCTAGCAACCACCCTGAGCGGTCAGCTGCCTGGCCATGGCTAAAGGCAGGAACAACCACACCTATGGCAATCCTCACACATTTGCCTAGCCTGCTCCTGAGATTCTCCAGTGATGTGATTCAAAGCCTCCCCTGACCATCCATACCAGCATTTCAGTGGCCCTGCCACTAGATCTGGCTTTTCTCATGTTTAAGCCCTATCTCCTTAGCTGAATTTAAACCCATTACTTTTTGTCCTGTTCACAGCAGTCTTTAACAGACCTGAAAATCACTACTACAGCTCTTCTTAACTCATGCTTTTCTAGACATTTTCTGCCCTAACTTGCTCAGACTTACCTCATGGGTTGCATCTGCTTGACCACTAGTCCTTGCAGCTTCCTATTAGACTTGCCTCCGTTTCATCAAACCTTTCCCGAGAGGCAGGGCCCCAGACTGGACACAACACTACAGATAAGATTTTGTTTCACAAGGGCTGCTTCCTTGTCTCACAGGCCACTCTCAATGTCCGTGGATCCTCAAGCACGCTCTCTGGAGCTCTGTGCTGATGGTGTCTGCCTAGACTGCACTTGGCTCTTGCTGCTGATACAATCTTTCAAATTCACCTCTAAAGTAAGGGCGAGCAGCAGCTCATTTCCTAATGCCACAGCAAATCTTCTCAGCTTCCCATTATCTGCTGCAGGATTATCCAGTTTCAGCATTAATTGTGTCATGTAGGCAAAGACAACAGAGCTGGCTCCATACATGCAATTCAACTCAATGACAAAGTTCATTAGCCCACACAAGGCACCATGTGGCTGCAGTTACACCTCTGGCACAACATTCACAATCCAGTTTAAGATAAACATTGCCTTTTAACTCAGATTCAACACTGGCCTTATAGTAGTAAAGCCAGCTATGTTGATTCACTTTGATGCCTCTGGATTTTTTTCTGGAGCTGCCATCTCCAGAACTCACCAGATCAAGCACAGATCTGCCAGACAGTCACTACATTATTCCTGCAGAAAATATATGCAGAAAATTAACTCAGGTAGGAAGCAATCACAGTACTGGGGGAGGGGGAGTCCACTACCCAACGTATCTGACCAACTCATTGCTATGGATAATGGCAACCCAGTGCAGTAAATTCTGCCACATCCATCAAAATGAAATGCCAACCCAAAGGAATTTCACAGGACTATATTATAATGCTACTTAAATGAATTTCATTCTCACTACTACAAATGAATGCAGATAAAAACAAACCATGGGAACATGTTTCTACCTATAGACACTAGTCCACTGGCTGAGAACACAGCACTATATGCTTATCTCTAAATTTAAACAGCACAGTTGGCAAGGGCTGCTACTATTCTTAAGGTGGGGCGCGTGTGTCAGGATTGAGAGGAAGCATGAGAAGGAGCCCAGCATGTGTGTATAGGAAATGGAGAAGAATGTAAGTGGCAGTTTTCTAGATTTGTAGTGATTGAGTTGACAGGCTCTGCAGTTAAGCAACCTTGACTCCAAGTTAATAGGGTTTCTGATTGGGAGGTAATTTCCAAGGGATTTTAGGAGTTTGTATCAGTGCTGATAGTCATTTACATGAATAGTGATAATGCATTATCCTTCTCATGTCTTCCCACTATGCCTTTACATCTCCTCTACCTTAACCTATCCTCCTTGATTGGTTCCCTGCACAGCTGCATTCCACACTTTTTAAATAAAAGGCTGATATACAAACGTTTCCCCTGCCAGAACTGGTGAACACTTAGCCATTAAAATATTATACAAAATTCAAGCAGCCCATGACAATTGAAAATGGGAAATTAAGTTCAGCCACTATAAAACACATAGCAGAAGGAGTTCTGGATTTTTCTGGCTCAGAATTTGCTACAGGGCTGCCAGGGGTTGCCCAGCACTGCTGCAGTATCAGTGGAGCAAGTGCTTACAAGAAAAAGGCTATCCAAGGAGAAGGAAGGGCACACAATAGAGAAGCACACACAGAACCTACCTCGCTGGCTGAGACTGGTGACTTGTCAATGCCCCTGTTGACAGCCTCCCAGGATCTGGCGGTCACCACGCAGGCGAAGAGAGGGTACATATCCCCTGCCCCAAGCCGCCGGCTGTACTTCTGTACCCTCTTCATGTCGGCCTTAATGAGGGCCTGCCAAAGGCGGCAGTAGTCCATGCGGAAGGACTCGCTCAGCACCTGGGGAGGAAGACATGGCCCCAGATGTCCACGAAGGAAAGGGAACTGGGGAGGAAAGCCGTGTGCACCCTAGCTGTGCCCTATCCCCCATTTCAGAGGCAGGAAATATCTTTGGAGGGCTATGGAAGTAATAGGAAAAATGTATTCATATGGGCCTAGTGGGGCAAAGCTGCAGCTGGGTATGCTTTTTCAGTCTGATGCCCACAAGGCCCCAGAAGGCCCCCACAGCTACATACCTGGTAGAGCCCATGATCCAGCAGGATAATGTGGGCCTTGCCAGAGGCTGGGCATTTCTTCACTAGCACATTGCCTGGGTGCGGGTCACAGTGCACAAAGCCGTTCACAAAGATCATTTCACTGTAGAGCTTCCCCAGGTTGCGAGAGATCTGTGAGGAGACAGGAGATGGTCACACAGTGCCACCGCAGCAGGGTGCCTGCCAAGGAGGGGAGGCAGCCCTCATGTGCCAACACTGCAGGGAGCAAGAGTCTGGTACGTGCTCTTGCAGCTCCTCACAGTGAAAAATGCACAGGGTGTCTGCGGGCATCTACCCTGGTGTTTGTGGGGTCAGGGGTTTTTTAGGGACACTTCCCTGGCATAAAAGAGAGAAAATACCTGTGGGTAGGAATGGGGTTTCTGGTAATGAGGAAAAAAGTGAAACAGCAGATAAGGGCAGACAGGCATTCACAGGGAAGGCACAGAAATTGCTGATGGGGTGGTGAGAGACCACTTGGAGGAAGACTTGGGTGTTTCCCTCCATGAATGGCAGCAGGACTCAACAAAGAAGGAGTGGGAGGAGACAGAGCCTGTCAATCTGCTTACCGGAATGAACATGGGCTCCCTCTCTCCTCCCTCCATCACTTTCCCCCTTTCTTTCCTCAAACCCATGTTAATCTGATTTGCAATGCTTGTGAAGATGGAGAATCACAGAAAGGCTGTTTAAATCATCCTGTCACTGCTGTGTCCCTCTATGCCACTGCTCCTTATCATTAAGAGCTGCTATTAAAGTTAAAAACCTCCTAGGAGCAAGCAAACATCCCCAGGGCCTGGAGTCAATCCTTTGCCATGCACTAACACAGCAGCCTTGCCTTGACATCCCACCACCAGCCCTCCCTGCCATCAGAGAGTGGCACAGTGCTCCACAGTGGAGTGCTGAACAAACAATTAAAAGACAATCATTATAAATGATTCCAAGCATGTCCCCAGACACACAGCGTAAGCAGCAAAAAGGCAGCTGTCCCCATAAGCAGAAGTGGTAGAAGAGGTAACAGGGATAGTAATGACAGCTCATCCTGCAGAAAATCAGTGAGCCAGGGAAGGGTTTGTTTTACCGACCTCCGAGAAGAGCATTCATTAGGAATAGTGCCCAAGTGACTAAAAATGAGGAGGAAGAACAGGAACCTCTCCTGCAACACACCAAGAGGGACAGCTATGACACCAAATGGGACAACCTCCATCCCTCGGGTGGGAACTGGAGCCACACCGATGAATCATGGAGAACGCTGCCCCTGTGCTGAATCACCCACGCAGGTGGCATAGCACAGCCCTACAGTCTCCCACAGTGCAGCTCCCCTAATGCCACACTGGTGTTACTTAAACTACTGACTGAGGGGAATAATGTTTCCTTCCAGCAGAGATCACTGGAGTAATGAAGTGACCCTTACAGGTCTCCTAGATCAACAAGCTCCAAAATTGGATAGAACCGAAGTACCATGTGCTGTGACCTCCTATAAGAGGTGAGTATCACTTGCTGACAGTCCAAGGACATGCCACAAAGTCTGTTTTAAGCCAGTCGCTCATTCACACAGCCTCCCAGGGACCCACGCACCAGGCAGAATGGACTTGGACATCATGACTGATCATAGTATCAACCACACCACCTGTGCACACACTGAAGAAGCTGCATTTTGCCCTCTCTGCCTCACTCTTTGCCCTCCAGGAACCTGGAAGAGCACAGAATTATTGAAGATGAAGACCTGGAGACAATCTGGGGCACAACATGGTGCTTCATACCCATTCAACACAAATCCATACAAGGGCTGGCAGTTCTGAAAACCTGTATGTTGGTCATGGCTAAAACCTGGAAAACTCTTAATTTGGGGCACCAGAATATGGGCTGCGTCAAAGACAGTGGATTGTCCTTCTGTGCTGTGGTAATGGCATATGATGAGAAAGTCAAGCAGTGGAACAAGTTACCCATAGAGGCTGCGCAACCACCATCCTTGGAAGTTTTAGACCTGACTGGATAACACCCTGAGTAAGTTGGTCTGACCTCACAGCTGACCCTGCCTTAGCAGGAGGTTTTATAGGAGACTTCCTAAAGCCCCTTCTAATCTCAAATATCCTAAAATCTTATAAAACCACCTCTCACTAAGTTATCCACACCACCCTCATAACAGCATCTTATGGTATGGCTATAGACTCCAGATGTAGGAAGGGTCTCCCGTCCTGAATCAGCAGACAGGTTTCTAAATCCTAAAAATAGGATTTAAATTAAATTAAGATAGAAAGCACCAATACTGTCAAATTCTGAACAAAAAAGGAAGGTTATGTTTCTAGGGCTTACAGTGTAATACGTCAAGAGTGAATTCATGTTTCTAGAAAAAGTTTAGGAAAAAAAACATGAAAAACTTTATACACATTAATTCTCCAGTACTGCACTCCATTGCTATGAGCCTTTATGCCACTGTTATTGAGAAGGGCACTGGATAAATAACATACATAAACCACATTGGAAGAATGCTGTTAGGTGAAATGAGAAAACAAACATATGAAAACCTCTACTCAGGAGAAGGGAGGAATTCAGCATGCATTTAGGCTATGTAGGACCTCGGGGCGAAGGTGCATCACAAATGAGACAAAAGGCTGCAGTGATGCACGAAAGCAAAGATCAAAGTAAACACACAGGCATTTTATTATGACAGGGAGAGGTCATCATCCCTTTCCCTGTTTTTCATCCAACACAGCGAGGTCCTTACCGTTACCCCAGCATTTTTCTGCTGCACATGGCAAAAAAAGATAATAATCACCCCTGGAATCCTGTATTCACTTCCATGTGACACCTCATTAACAGAGAGATGCAGACTACACAGAGTGAGTTCGGAGACAGCAAACAAATGAGCAGGATGCAGGAGGAATTTACTTGGGAAAAAAAGACAGAAACAATTGAAGATTCTGAAGTTGGCTAGGGAATGGAGGGGCAGTCTACTGATGTTGGAAGGTTTGAATAGCAAGGAAGCAGAAGCACTTGTAGCACTGGATGTGCTACAAGAAATACAACCAGGCAGAAGGCGGTATAATCAAGAATGGCATAATTTAGGCACAACACATAAGGAAAAAAAATAATTGCTAATCAGCAAGCAGAGCTGAGCTTTATATGTCAGGATGACACCAGACTCTGGTCAGAGGCATGTTCTTGCCTATTGCCAGAAGGTGTGTTACTGAAAAAAGTAGTTCGATTTGTCTGTCTGCGCTGCAGCAGCTATGATGACTACATCCACCCAGTGAGCCGGTAGCCTCACCAGTCAATGCAAATAGGAACCTGTCATTGCCACATTACGTGACATGACCGTGACACTGTGTCAGGCAAACTGTACATTTTCAGCCCGATGTTTTAATTTTGAAAAAAAATAGCTGAGGAATAAGCAGATTGCAGACAATGGAATGAAGAGTCAGCAGCTGGGGTAAAAAGAGTGGACAAATACATGTAGAACAGCCAGACTCTTCACCAAACAAAGCACATGAAGTTCATTTTATATACTTCGTATAGCAAGGATGCTACACGCCACAAACTATCTTACATGAGTTATAAGCCAATACCAAACTGTCATGGTTTAAGCCCAGCTGGTAAATCGGAACCATGCAGCCGCTCCCTCGCTCGCCCGCTTCTTTCTCCCCCTGCTCCCAGAGGGATGGAGAGGATAATCGGAGGAATGTAACTCCCATGGTTTGAGATAAGAGCAGTCCAGTAACTAAGGTATAATACAAACCACTACTGCTACCAATTATAATGATAAGAGGAATAACAAGGGAAAAGGACACAACCGCTCACCACCCGCCGACCGATACCCAGCCCGACCTGAGCAGCGATCTGGGCCTTCTGGGTAACTCCCCCCAGTTTATATACTGGGCATGACGTGCTGTGGTATGGAATACCCCTTTGGCCAGTTTTGAGTCAGGTGTCCTGCCTCTGCTTCCTCCTGGCTTCCCCTCCTCTCTGGCAGAGCATGAGACTGAGAAAAGTCCTTGGTCAGAGTAAACATTACTGAGCATCAACTAAAAACATCGGTGTTATCAGCATTGTTCCCAGGCTGAAAGTCAAAACCACAGCACTGCACCAGCTACTAAGAAGGAGAAAAAAATGACTGCTGTAGCCGAATCCAGGACAAAAAGGAAACAAGAATGTGGTGCAGACATTAAGGATTGTTATTGTATAGTATCACACAGCTACTCAAGTTCACTGGAAATAAGTAAGACATAAAGTATGACTTTGGAGGCTGTTCAAAAAATTCACTCTTTAGACAGCCAAAACCCTTCCCCTAAATCCCACCTTCATTTAAATGATGCCCAGTTTAAATTTTCTTAGCTAACATGACCCTAGAATTTAACTACTTCCTTCCCTCTCCACTATTTACTACTCCAATGTGTTCACCAGTAAGGTAATTATCAGCATAAATGCAGCACAGATACTGCCCCATTACTACAGGGTGTTCCTTTATCCGATGTGTCCTAGGAGTCAACCCGCCTTTTACACAGTCACACTGGACTGGAAACACACACTTACTCTTTGATTGACTAATATCCCAAAGTTAATTCTAACATGACACTTTCCTCTGATAAACTCCCAGCATACTTATGAAACTCTTCGTATTAGTTTTAAGCACATGGCCTTTCACTTTGTATGGCTCATTTTTATCCCTTTCTACCACTTCAGTCCTCAAGGCCACCAAGTGCTATTGCCACTCTGGTCCTTCTCTACAATAACAGAACCTCTCAAATTGTCATCAACAACCTCCTTCACACAGTTCTGTTTGTGTCGAGGTTGTCACTGAATTTATTAAATAAGATCAGTTTGAAGAGCAAACCTCACAAAACTCCTCTATGGTAATCTCTCCCCACCATTGCCTCTATCATTTTCTTACCTACTTCGCAATTTCCCTACTAATCCCCACCTTTTCTAGTTAACCAGCTCATATCAAGGTACCAAGGATTTTATCAAGTACACCTATTGCATTTCTGTCATCTAATTCAGAGGATCCCAAGCTGTAGTATAGATAGCAGCAAGGATGTATTTCTTCTTGTATATGTACACAGCTGCAGTTGCTGCTATCAGTTCTGAAAGCCTAGACAACCTGTTACCCTCCACTAGGAGCTGCTTTTGATGAACCCATATTACATTCTGTTGCATACAGCCCCACAACAGCAAACTTTTGGGGATACATCAGCCCTTGTATGCAACATTCTTCTTAATGAATCAGCACACCCACTTGACAGAGCAACCTGACAGTAACAAAACACTGGAAAGGCCATCATAAATTAGTATCTTTAAAAACACCAATATGCAATAGTGAGCAAGAAACGTCTCAGAAAGGAAAGAATGTGTGCAAATTTGAGCCTATTAATACTCCTACAGTAAAAAGACGGCACATATCATGTTCATGGGTATTTGCAATGTAACAAACCAGCCTGGATTATCAACGGAGAGTCATTGATACTTTCCTGGCCTTGTGAGCAAACTGGAGTGGTCCTGGCTCCACGCCTCCAACTAACATGAAGAAGAAAGGCTAAGAAAAAAGTCCTGTGACATGGTACTGTAGAGCTGATCTCACTGCCTGCCCCTGATAAGTCCCAGATGAAACTGCCTGATAGGGCATCATCCCTTCCTGTCC